GAGAACATAGGACGGCCTTAGGTAAACATATCACCAGAATGATTGACAGTTAGGAGGACCTCTCATTTAGATGATAAAAGATCGTCCTCTATACCTTTAAGACTTTTGCACAGTACCGTTCCTTTAGACGTGACTTTTCTGTGTTTTGCTGATAAATAGCAGCAGTAGTGTCCAATGATGGGTTTATTTGCATTACAAGGCCTTTAAACTAAGTAATGAATCCTTAACCTGTTCAAAGTAGTTTAGGATATTTAAAAGTGTCTTTTTTTTATCTGGATACCCTAAAAAAAAAGTTTATTTTAAATATATCATGAAAAATGTATTATATAAGTTTTAGTTTAAATAATTCAAACATATTCATTTCCTTGTTAAATAATCCAACTTTAATTAATGGAATAAACTTTTTTACCTCTCAAAAAACAGTTTTATGGGATTTTCTTTTTTCCCTTTGAAGCTTTTCCCTGAAGGAAATGCTTGATTTATTAGTTTTATATTCTGTTTAGCTTATGAGTGTCGTCTTGGTTTTCTGAGGGTCTGTTTGATCTTGGCAGTCATTAAACCGGGTCCAGCGCAGCTCTGAACGTTCGGTCAGTCCATTAACAGTTTGCGGCTTGTTGGTTTGGATCCATTGCTGTGTTTTTAACACAAGCAGAGCACAAGCTGTCCCTCAGCGGAGCCGCTTTGTTGAATTATTCATGCGCTTGAAAGAACCGAGGAGAAACTCCGCTGAGAATAACAAAGCTTTAAGATTCACATTAACTCTGCAAACCTCTAATGATGCTGCTTTATGATTGTGTTCTTGTCTCCCATAGCATCTTTCTCCAGCCTGAAGACGGAGCTGGAGCGAATAAAAGCAGAGAAGCAGCAGGTGATGATGCAGCCTCTTTTCTACTCTGGCATGAAATATTACAACATAGAGCAGAGTGGTGTAGGTGTAGCTGGATGTGAACATAATCAGGTTGAAAAGCTGTTGTTCTGGCTACTCAGTATCTGCTCTCTGTTTTTCAACATAATCCGTCCATTTTAAATGTTGGTTTTTACTCTTAAAAAATTTATTCAAAATGACTGAAAACTTTAGACTTGAATATGGTCAAATTTGAAGCATAGTGGGAGTAATCGTTCGAATCATTCTGATCCTCTGCTGTTGTTGTGTTTTTGCAGCTGCAGAACAGTTTAGCTGAAAAGACCGAATCACTGGACGGCATCCAGAGCGCCAAGATGAGCCTGGAGCAGCAGCTCAAAGAAGTCACCAGTGCAAAGGTTTGTTGTCTTTTCATGCTCAACCAGTTAAATGTTGAAGAAAATAATCTGTTGGTGATTAAACCTTTTCAATGTTACGTCTAACCATAGGTTACGTTTTAAGGTCAACTCAATTTGACTGACAAGATTAAAAAAAAGAAATTCTGTCATATATACACACTA